TAAGTGTAACGCCCCTACGGGCTCCCTGCCCCAGGACGTGTCTTGCGGAGGGATGCGCAGAATGCTTGAGCTCAAGCCCAGGCGCGCAGACAGTGGGGAGCTGGGCCGCCGGCCGCGGGTGCCGAGCGGGTCCCGGGGGGGAGCTCGGTGGGGCCGCTCTCGGACGCCGGGGCACAGCTCCTTTCACCGAACGCTCCTTTCACTTTTCTCCGTGTATCTTAAAAGGGAAAACCCTCTTCAGACTTTTTCTTTGGTTGGCAAAACAGGTGGTAATGTGGGTCTTTCATAAAAGCGATGCGGCGTGAGGCAAACTTTTGGAAAGCAGGGATACCTATAGTTTTATGCCACATGTCATTTATGCTGTCAAAAATTATATTGAGAATAAACTAAAATGTGAGTCTTTCCATGTGTGTTTGCAAGATCTTGGGGTCATTCTGTTAGATATTCTATTTTAAATATTTAAGGCCACACAAACTGTGGAGACTCTCATTTAGTTCATTATAGAGCAAAAGAGATTTTCTCCAATAACAGCATCCTCTTGACTTTTTTCAGTCTTGGACTGAAAAGAGAGAATAAATAGCCTCCAACTCAAGCTTATATTAAGAAGGAGACAGATCTCTATGGTCCTTAAATATGTTTCCCTAGCATTTTTATATAATTTGCAATGTGAAGGAAAGGTTTCTAAATGAATGGTACTGATGTTGTTAAAATAAGAGCGGTCTTCAAGTGGGAGTTTGTTCTACAAGACAGAAGCTATCGACACAGATATTGTTGAGAGATGATTTCAGTAAATAGCTGTTCTATTTCTAATGGATCATTAAGTGCAAAATACTGCTTTTTATTCTATTTGGTCATCTAGTTAGCTTATCATGGCTGAAAAAAAAATTTAATTCGTAAGTCACTCCCCCCATGGCCAGAGAAACTTCAGCTTTCAGCTCTCCATAATTGAAGAGAGCGATCAGGACCCGCTGGATTAGATATTTCTTGTCGGTAAAGGAACATCTGTTCTGAAAACACTGCCTTGGGCCTTTGGTCCTCCTAGTAAGTCATTAACTAAACAGCTTTACCTACTAGTTGTTATTCCCTAAACACCCTGTGCACCGGGCCTGGTTACATGCTAAGAAAATAAATCATCTCTCAATTGGACTGTCATTTCAATAGCATAGATTTCTAACCTCGTAATAAAGAAATACTAACGAAAGTAGAACCAGTTACTAATTTGTTTTAATGACTGAAGAGTTAGAAGAGAATGTGCTGAAGACCCTACACTTAATGTTCATGAACTTGACTAAAAGGCACATCAATTACACCCTGAGGATGATGCCTGAGTGCTTTTGGCTCCTGGTGTTTGACTCCCTGTTACATCACCACTTTTGCCCCATTTTTGTGATTCAGCCAGTTTCGTTGTCTTGGACTAAAGAGATGCACTGTCTGATGATGGAAATGCCCTGTGTTTGCATCGTCCAGTGCAGCCTCCAACAGCCACATGTGGCCAGTGAATCCTTGAAATCGGAACTGAAAAGAACAGCTAGATGCGGCCACCTAGAGGTCATTCTTAACACGGGGCAGAGAGATCCTATGGAGCGAGGGGGGTAAAAGCTTCTTGTGGTGGGTCGGGAGCTAATGGGGGATGAGGAATGGGGACAGCCTGTGTGCCGGGGGGATGAGGCGACGAGTGCAGCGGAGGTGACTACACAGAAGATGGGCCTCCCAGACCTGCACTCAGAAACCACCGATCTGGCAGCCACGTGAAAAAGGAGGCAGGGGGGAGAAAGCTAGAGTTCACGTTCCGTTTTTATCTTTTACCAAGAAAAAGATGAGTTAGGCTCGATTTCCTGACATTTAGTGAAGACAAGTGATAATGTGAGAAAAAATTCCAGTTCCCTAAGAAAAATGGAAATATTTATTGTCCTTAATGGTGCAGCTGTTACCCAAGAACAAATTGGTTAGTTGTAAGACTTGAAATATTTAATTTTTCTCTGAAAAGCTGTAAGAATCCATGACACTACAAAAATAAGGTATTTTATCATTTCTTTTAATAAAAAAAGTTTTAAGTTCCTAGTACTGAGATGCATTCGTCAAAAACCCCCACAAATCATGCATTCTTGCACTTTTTTTATAATTACTTCTTAAAGGTACCTTTAGGTTACAAGTTCTAAAAGAATAAAATGGAATTCCAAATTATGCAGTCTATACTTCTATATAATGATACTAATCTAAAGTTGGACCTGATTGAAATCATAGCATTTTAGCCAAGTTTACCCAGACAAGACTCAGACCCATGTCTTTAGACTCCATGCCTGGTGCCGTTTTGAAAAAAAGACCGGCTAGATGATGCACCGGGATATTTTTGTACCCCTGTATATGACAATAAGAGAGAAAATAGAAAATTTCTAACAGCATGCGTCATTGGGGACAGTGAATCCTTTTCTTCACATTTCTACAATTAGTACCATTCCCCCCTTGGGCACATCCTTACCATTTGCATTGTGCTCCCCATAATGTTGACTCATTTTTCAAAAATGCTTGGTAATTATCCTGTACGCTAGGAAATTTGACCCAAGGAGAAGTCTAACTTCCTTTCAATTCTTCCAAAAGTTTCCTCTCTTACTGGAAATAGGGAAGGTGGTATATTGGTAGGTTAGAGGAAGAAAAGTGGTCTTTAAAATTCCAATTCTTCACATTTCAGTATTCAAACACTGAAACCAAGTTTTCAGGATTACCTATGGATAGTAGCTAATTCAGACTATAAGATCCTGGTGTGTTTTGGGTTTCTACAAAGAAACCAGGTTCTGTATTTTCCGAGCTGAAGTTGGAGGCTGGTAATTTAGTCCATGGAAAACCTGGTAATGATCTAAAACATAGAGGACCAGAGGGGTGTGTTTTTTTGGTTTCTGTTTTGATTTGGTTTTAAGGGCTAGGTAACTCCTTTTGGAAAATCCCTCAAAGAGTAAAAGTCAAATGTGAATTGTATCACATATCCCGCTCATAACACACTAGTCCATTTCTGAAAATAATAACACTTTTTCCAAAATGAACTCATTTATATTCTCGGCCATGCTCTATTGTGTGCACTGAGTGGTTTCTTGAGAGCAATGTTTCCTGTGGCGTATTGCCAAGACTGGCTTTATTTGGGGTTTTTTTTGTTTTGGGGGTTTTTTTGTGTGTGCTGTTTTTTATTATTGTTTTTCATTAGGCTTTTCATTATCCTGCTGCTGTGTACCTGGATCTTTCTGCCTCATCCAAGAGCACCAGGGAGCTCAAGAATAGGACTGGTACTAGGAGTAGGTAGAATGTTTTTGTCCACTAAATCCCTAGCTATGGTACCCTCCTAATGGCTTTCATTTTTCTAAGACCAGTCATTTATCCATTTGTAATATAGTCTGATATTCAATTGTTGGCCTCCATCCATTCTGTCCCTGTCCGGGGAAGGACATTACTCTCACTTTGCACACTCTAGACTGGCCCCTTCTCTTTTATTATCTTGAGGAAAGGCATCATGAGTCACCCCCCTTGCCCAAGCCTGGAACCAGTGTGTATTCTGCATTTCTCCATCATTTCACACATTCACTTACTAAGTCAACCTTATCGATAGTTTTCAAATCCCCTTCCTTCTTTCTGTTTCCCATGACCACTACCTTAGTCTAATCCCACATCATCTCTAAAACCACTGCAGTGGCCTCCTCAGGGTCTCCATGTTCCACGTTGCCCTTTCCAGTTCATTCTCTTTTGCTTTAAGTGTTCATCAGTACCCACTGCTCTCCATAAATGGGTATTCTGTCATTTCTATTCATAAGTGTTTTTGTGCTATACATTATGAGGACAGAGTTTGATTTGTCCAGAAATGTAGTGATCTGAAGTCTTGAACTCCTCTGTAGACTCCAATTTAAAGGGAAACTCTAGCTTACAAATTCCAAAAGACAAATTTTTTATGTTAATCAGAGGTCTAAAACATCATTGAAATCAGAGAATTTCAGGACTAAACTGGTCCTTGGAGACCATGGAGCTCAACGTCGTCATTTTATAGGCAGGGAAACTGAGGCCCAGCCCCAGAAACAGCACTGATCTTTCTAAGCTTGGGATCTCATCATGTAACTCCTTACAATCTGTCCACGGATCTCCAGTGTGAGCAGGATGAAGTCTGAATTCCTCAGGGTGCTATGAAATGTCTGTGTGTCTGGCCTCTGCTTGCCTTCCCAGCCTTACCTTGCGCTCCTCTCTTCAACTTATCCCAGAACTCAGTGCTGCCAAGGACACGCTGTTCTTTCTCAGCCACAGGACATCACTCGTCATTTCTCTTTGGTCCTTTCTCTTTGGAATGCTAAGTCCTAACCACCCTTCAGATATCTGAGTGGACATCATCGCCTCCGAAAACATATATATCCCTGATCCCCTCGGGGCTCCCAAGAATGTGTCACCATCATAGCAATTTGACATCATTCTAACTGCCTTTGAACAATAGGTTTCCATCACTGCACTAGAGGGAATGAAGACAGCTGTGGGCAGGAACCTGTGTCTTAGTCATTGTTCTAAGACACAGGTATTCACTATTTTAAGATTAATTCTCACTTCTAACCTGCCTCGGATATGCAATTTCTCCATCAGCCCTCCTCCCAAACTCTGTTTTCCTGGGGGGAAAATCAAAACTGATTCATTCACATCAAGGTATAGGTTATGGATTGTCTAAATGGCAACGCTTCCTAGCTGCATTTACATTTTCAGAGGGACAAAGTTTTAAGTCATAGGAATGAATCCCCAGTGCAGAGAATCCAACCAGAAATAGTAAACCATGAGAGTATTGGGAAGGGGGAGGACATTTTCCCAGAACTTTCAACATAGGTGACCCCCTCTGACCCCACCCTCACAGAACAATGACTCCATGTTTTTGCCTGTAAAACTCAGACCACATGTTGGTCATGTGTCTCTGCATTAAATAAATCATTATTTATCCATAGTAAAAATGCCTGATTTAACTTACAACATCTCTGGTTTTGTTTTAGGGAAGCAATGTTATGGAAGATCAGGATTTATTGGAAATTGGGATCCTTAATTCTGGACACAGGCAAAGAATTCTACAGGCAATCCAGCTCCTTCCAAAGGTAAGCAGCGCTTTATTACCCTCGCCCTACGTGGGTGAGGATTCGGGAATGTTTCTGGATTAGAAGCCATTCGCTCAGTTGCAATATCTCTTACAACAACTCCAGAGGCTCAGCTTCCAGGGACAAGGGACCTGCATAATTACAAGGGTCATCACTTGGGGAGTCCAAAGTATGCAACCCAATCAGGTATTTATAGTTCATGTATGAATCTTCCCAGTTCAGATGCATTTTGTAAGCAGTATGTTACCTAGCAACAGAGTTGACCTTCTGGTTCATGGGAGCCTAAAGCAAGAGGTAGGATCTGAGCACTGCTCTTCAAGATAGGCAGGATTTTAATTGGTAATGAAAGGGAAAGGCATTTCAGGGGCCAGCAGGAACCATATAAATACAGGTATGGTCAAGACAACGAACTGCCCCAAGCATTAGGGAAACAGTGATACAGTGTGATTTAAAATCCGATGGGATTTGCACCACAGTGTGAATGTACTTAATGCCACTAAACTGTACACTTAAAAATGGTTAGGGTGGTAAATTTTAGGTTTGTTATTTTTTTTCAGCACAACTTGACAAATAATTTTTTTAAAAAGACCAAAAAAAATCCAATGTGATTAAAACAGTTGGAGAGTGGAGTCAGAGATAAAGCAGAAAAAGCAGGCTGGGTCAGTTGGTGTCAGGCTAAGGAATTTGAAATGTATTCTGTAAGCACCGGGGAACAGACATGACTAGAATGCTCTAGGTCAGTTAACTCTGGAGGAGTGTGCGATCGGAATGAGAAGGAGGGAAAGTTGAAGTTGGGTCATCCAGCTGGGAAAAAATTCTGGGTGGGGGGGATTTGAGGCAGGGTAGCAGAATGGGAAAGATAAATATTAACCACTGTTTCTAAGGAAGGGATCTTATGAGGTTTGCCAAGTGACAGTAAACTGGGTTGCTACAGATAGAAACTTAACACAATTTTGCAAATTCAAGGAGAGTCAAGCACACAAAGGAGTTTAATCACACAGTTTTCTTAGAGTCTCATCTGTCACCTCTAGGTTAGACGACTTGTGCCGTTTCTCCTTGGTCCTCTCTAGCCTGGGCAAGTCACAGATGTCAAATCTGTGTCCTAGGTACCTTTCTTACCACTCTACAACTGAATTTCTGGACAGCGTCAAAAACAACCCTTCCAAAATGTATGTCAGATCATGCCACATCCCACACCCAATGGCCAGCCCTGGCTGGTGTGGCTCAGTTGGTTGAGCGTCGCCCCACACACCAAGAGGTTGCCGGTTGGATCCCCTGCCAGGGCACATGCCCAGGTTGCAGGCTCGAGCCCCAGTGGGGAGCATGCAGGAGGCAGCCGATCAATGTTTCTCTCTCTCCATCTCCTTTCTCTCTCTCTAAAGTCAATAAAAACATAAATTTTTTTTTTTTTTAAATCTCCAGTGGCCTACAGAAAAGTCAATAGAATCTAACCCCTTCCCTTATCTGTGACCTCATCCCGCACTGTCCCCTTCTCCTGCTCTCTAGTCATAAGATTTTTTTTTTTTTCCAAAACTTGCCAAGCTCATTTTTGCCTCAAGGTCTTTCCATATTGGGCTCTGCCTGGAAAGCCTTTCCTTCAGATCTTCATTCACTTGCTTCCATACATTTTCGAATCTCTACTCAGCTGTCACCTCCCACAAAGGCCTTCATGATCTCAAAGTCACACTCTTCGCTCATTAGCACTGTCCTTCGTATTGCCCTACTTTTAGTTTTTTCTCCATAGCGCTGATGGCTACCCGAAGTTATAGTACTAGTTCCTTTTTTTCTTTCTTATTTCCCATGCCTCCCCTAGGATGCAAGGTTCACAGGGTCAGGGACCATGACTGTCTTCTACGTTACCCATTCCCTAGAACAGTGCCTGGCACCTAGTAGGTGGCCGAAATATATGTGGAATAAAGGAATACACTGCTCTCTCTTCCCTCTGAGATCTGATAGTTCTCTGCTTGTTCTGTCTGAAGGTACTAATAATATTATCATGAGCATCCCTAGGGCAGAAACAATGTAATATCTATTCTTGAATTTTCCCCTGTGCTTACACATTAAAAGAATGAAAGAATGAGTGACTGATTGAATGAATGAATATTTTCCTCACATGTTCAAGTACAATTTTTTAATATCAAAGAGCGCCTCAATTTTAAAGTATATCTGTAAGCTTATCCAGCCATTTGATAATGAGAAACAAAAGAACTTGAACTCAGAATTATTTGGAGAATAAATGGAGTGTTTACTTTTAAGACAGAATATCATTCCCATCAGAGAAAAACAATATAACAAAAACAATACAAAATTAAGCTTCTATCAAGAGGCTGATGCAAAGTGCTTACTATGCATCCAAATGAACAGAAAATATATAAAAACATCCAAACACGTGTTCAGGCAGCACAGACAGAATGTTATAGTGCTACAGATTGACGCTTTGCTTTCTTAGGTAATGAGCCCAATCTTCAGATGGTTAATAGTGTAATTTTACTGCCAGCACATTTATTTGCATTCAGTCTAACTTTGCAGGGCCAGAGAATGGACAGAACGTCTCTTCGTTTTGTTTATGTAGTTTGGGCCTTCAGAATATTTGTGTTCTTTATCTGTCAGGAAGAATATTCTGTAATTGCTACCTGAGACCCTTCATTCACATACTGTGTTTCGGAGCTGGGGAGACTGTTCCCAGAGAAGAGGGGGTTTCCTAAGTGCAATCTCGATCTGTAAGCACACTTCAAAGCATGTTTTCCATGCTTTATGTGTATCTGTTGCTTCAAGTTTCAAAGAGAAAAGTGTATTCCCTTGGAAAGAATGGTTTTTCTGTAATATGCCCTTTTCCTATTGCAACATTCACCACTGCAAAGGTCTGCATGTTCTCAGGTGCCCTGGATGCATGGAACACATAGAACACATTCAGTAGATTCTAAGCATAGACATCTTTAGAAGAGTAATCACATTAATGCCCCCCCATTCTTTCCCTCTGTCTTTAGCAAAGCTCAACCTTTAGTAGCAACTCTTCATTTCAATGTCCACCCAGCACCCACTTCCTTCGCCAACCCCAGCTCAGTCTTTAGGTCTACAAGTTTCCCTGGACTTCTGAAGATCGGATTTCACCCTTCTCATTTTTATTGTTGTTGTTAATCCTCACTTGATATTTTTTCCATTGATTTTTTTAGAGAGTGGAAGAGAGGGAGGGGCAGAGGGAGGGGGAGAGAGAGAGAAACATTGATGTGAGAGAGACACATCAACTGTTTGCCTCCTGCGTGCGCCTGACTGGGGCCGGGGATCGAACCTGCACCCAGGTACTTGCCCTGGACCAGAATCGAACCCTTCAGTGCTCCGGCCGACGCTCTATCACTGACTCACGCCGGCCAGGCACACCCTTCTCACTTTTAGAAAAGGAAACATACCAAAAGGTCAATGAGAAGATGACTTATTTTTTTACTCTCTTAGAAACTGTAAGCATACTGTGCTTTTTCTGTCCCTTTCACACAGGGAAATTATCTGATTATTTATTTGCAACGGGTAATTTACCTTTTACCAGATAAAAATTCTCTGTGGCCAAGTCTTTGGATGATCTTCTAAAATCCTTTTAAAAGGACATAATCTCTTTTGTCCCCTGACAATGTAACAACTGGAGGTCAGGAATTCAAAAGATATTCATTTTAAAGGTTTGCAGACTTCATGGCAAGGCCCACATTGATCTTCTCTCTTGAGACCTCTCATCCTGAATTGAAAATGTCTTTCAGCATATTAGCAAGTTTGACCTCATCACATGCTCACTTCAATTTTCAATATTTCCTTTTCTGATATTCTCCTATTCCATAATATCTTTTGGAATTATTTAGTAGTTGTCTAAATACTTGTTTGCAAGTAATTGTCTTCCTGCTATCCCCCTTTCCCTTGCTCCCACTCATCTGTCCATCTACTTGGATGTAACTAGTTCCTTTGCTGCCACACCACACAAGCAAGGCTAAGGTCACCCATGACCAGCAGAGCAGAGATTCATAAGCCCCTTTTCACCTTCACCTGACTTTGGCTTTGGTAAATTCTGTTACTCTTGTCACCTGTCAACATTGTCTTCTTTTGGTTTCCACGGTATCTGAATATCTTCCTGCCTCTCTCCTTGCCTGTTCCTTCTGCCCAGTGAAATGTTGCAGTTCCTCAAACCTCAAATTCAAAAATATTTGAGGGCTACTGAATGGTGTCATCATGGGATTCTTGATCATAGCACAGTTCCTGGCATCTTTTGTTTTGTTCATTGCTACTCTACTTTTACTTTACTGCATAATGAACATGTGCATTTTAGCTGCCTTTATTTTTAAGTTCAGTTCAATTTAACCAATTTATGTTGGGCTACATAGTTTTAATTATTTTTTCACTGACTTGCACTGACCACCTCTGATTGGATTAAATTACCCCCATTCCCATCCTCAGTTTGAGATATTGGTTTAAAAAGAAAGAGTTATCTGTTATTCCAATAGAAAAACAAGATTCTGTGTTTGTTATCTATAGCTATATAACAAATTACTCCCAAATCTCAGTGGTATATAACAAGGACATTTGTTATCTCAGAGTATCTGTGGGTCAGGAGGCTGGGTGCAGCTTAGCTGGGCTCTCCGGCTCTGGGTCTCTAGAAGAGCTACGGTCATCTCAAGACTCAACTGGAAAGGAACCACTTTCTAGGTCACACGTGTGGCTGTAGGCAGGATTCCATTCATGGAGGGTCTTTGGGCCGATGCCTCAGTACCTCACAAGCCACTGGCTGAAGGCCTCCCTCAGTTCACTGTCACGTGGGCCCCTCTTAAAGTATCTACAACAAGCATCTGGCTTCAGCAGCACGAGCACATGGGAGGACAAGAAAGTGCCCACAAGGTGGAAGTCACAGTCTTTTTACAACACCCCATCCTTTCTTTTACTCTCTTCTTTCTAGTTTTATTGAGAAATAATTGACACACATCATTGTGTAAGCATAAAGTGTACAGCAAGATCGTTTGATTTAC